CCGAGGACCGACCCCTGCGGAACACCGCAGTACACCTCCCTCCGCATATGCCCATCCCGGCTCGGATACTCGATCCACCTGCCGCGGAGATAATCCCCGATGACCGCCCCGAGACAAGGGGGGACCCGATGATATTCGAGCCCCCTCCTTATCTCCTCCCAGGGCAGGGTGTTAAAGGCGTTGGCAATATCCAAGGATATTGCCAAAGCCACCCCTCCCCGGGAGACGGCCGACTCCGAGAGGGCCCTGACACGACCTATCGCGTCGATGGTCGATCGACCCTCCCGGAAACCGTACTGGCAGTCGGCCAGGCCGGGGGCACCCCGCGCCAGGTGCTCGACGAGGCGGGCAGCAATCACCCGCTCGAAGAGCTTGCCCACCTCGTCGAGGAGACAGATGGGCCGGTATGCGGAGGGAGACTCCGCGGGCCGACCCTCCTTCCGGAGGAGGACCATCCTCGCCACCTTCCAACTGGGGGGGGAATCGCCCGTCCCTCAGGCATCGGTCGAACAACCGCCTGAGGTCAGCCCCAAGGACGCCCTGGGTCAAGACCCAAACCCGGCCGGGCACACCATCCGGACCCGGGGCCGTGTTACGCGCCCCGAGCCGTCTGATGGCCGCGGCCAGCTCCCCCTGAGTGACCCCCAGTTCGGCCGCCCACTCCCTTGGGACTGCCGCCTCCGCCGGAGGACGTGGTCCCCTCACCCGAATTGGGAAAAGAGTATTGACCACGTCCTCCAGCAGCCGGGGGTCAAGACCCTCGGTGACGGGGGGCGCCCACGGGCGGAGCTTCTTCAGCACCACCCTGTACGGGCGCCCCCAAGGATCGTCATCGAGGGTCTGGAGGAGATCCTTCCATGCCCGGGTCTTGGCCCGTTTGATGGCGACCTGCAGAGCAACCCGCGCCATCCGGTATGCCTCATACAGGTCATCTGCCCTCGCTCGCGCCACGCCATCGTCCGGTCGTAGACGACGGCGCGCGCGGGCGTACTGGCGTCGGGCGCGGACACTCGCGACCCGCAATTCCGCGATCGCGGCCGACCACCAGTACACCGCCCGGCGAGGAGAAGCTCGCCCGACCCGGGGCATCGACGCGTCGCAAATGTTTGCGACTAGTACCCCGAGCCGGGCAGCCTCCTCCTCCATGCTTGGCAACTCGGCCGCCACCTGCGGCCAAGTTGCAGCGAGGGCAGCTGCCATCAGGGCGTCCTTGTCCAGGCGCCGAAGCGCCCAGCGGCGCGGTGGGGTGCCATCCGGGCGGTGGTGCCGGGACGCAGCCCCGGCGGCAGAGACCTCCATCCGGATATACCGGTGATCGGAGAGTGTCTCTGCCTCCGGGGCCACCTGCCAACCCGACACCATGCGCACGGCGTTGGGGGTCGCGAATCCAACATCCACGATAGACCCCCCATATCGCCGCACGCACGTGTGCTCCGACCCCCGGTTCAGTAACCGAAGGTCGAGCCCCGCCGCCCAGTCGCCCAGGATCCCGCCGCGAACGGTGGTCCTAGGGGATCCCCAAGCCACCGACTTGGCGTTAAAGTCCCCCAGGACCAGCACCGGCCGGGCCGCGCAGCGCTGCACGCATGCCGCGACCTCGGCCAAGTACAGCTCGAACGCGGCGTGACCGCTGCGGGGCGAGATGTAGCACCCCACTACGGCGACTCCCCCCCAGTCCACGGCGACGAAACCCCGACCGCGCTCCAGAATGGAGAACGGCGGGGACCCGTCGCCACCTCCCCATACCGTCGCCACCAAACCGTCCGCGTCGCCCACCCAATGTGGGTGATCAGGCACGCGGTACGGCTCGGCGGCGACCGCCAGGCCAACCCCCCACTCCGCGAGGACTTGGGACATCATGTCCTGTGCCGCGCGGCAGTGGTTGAGATTGGCCTGGAGGAGGAGGCGGGGCGCCGTTATTTAACGGCCGTCCCAGCCTCCTCCCGGCTGTCCGTCCCCGTGGCACCGTCCACCTCCATTGTGGACGCTGCCAGCGACCGCGGTGCCTGAACCGGGGTGGGCCCCTTCTTCTTCCCCTTCCGGGAGGGGGGAGAGCACTTTTTGCTCCCCACCCTGTGATCGGCTGGCCTCCCCATGTCCGCACATAGCGGGCAGTGGGGGGCCGCCGAACACTGGCTCGCGCGGTGGTCATTCGCCCCGCAGCGGTAACACTGACCGCTGCGGTCCACCGGCGAGGTGCACCACTGCCTCACGTGCCCCAACTCGAGGCAGCGGTGACACTAGAGTGGGCGCGGCGCGAGTATCTCCACTCGCGCCGAAACCCACCCCACCAATACCCTCCCGGATTCCGCCACCTTTCTAGCGGCGGAGAGGGGACACCGGGGCCACACCGACCCCAGGCCGGAAGGAGACCTCCACGCACCAGTTTGGTTGTCCAGGCGGCAGGGGAGGTGAACCCCTACGTGGCGCGTCCCCAGGTGGCGGATAGGGGCAGCCTCTGGGATGGGATGCGGGAATGAGGTCATCAACCTATGAAGGCTGGTGTCTGCATCCTCGCATAGCATCCCGGAGGTTGGAGCGAAAGCTCCCGCGGACCAAACACCGGTATGAGTGTGTTGCGCGTGTGAATGTGTGTGTGAGTGGACTGGGGCATGGGGTATTTGCCGCGGGTTAAACCGAAGGCCGCAGGTTGGCCAGTTGGCTGTTGGTATGTCCTGCGGCCAACGTGGCCCCGCGGCCGGCGGCTTAGTCCCATGTCACGGGGCCGCGGGCGCTGGTGACCAGGCGCCTGTGGTTGAGTGGAAATGCGGTGGGAGGGGTGCCTCTCACCGGGGAGGGCCTGAAAAGGCACGGCGCGGCGAGGGACTCTGTGATGTCTCACTAGAGTTCCCGGTCCCTCGCCAAGCGCCTCAGGATGGTCACCGTGGGGTTTTAGCCGGTAAGAGTCCGGCACTACCCGCCGGCCCGCCCATCGGGTGGGCCCGCGGGTGTCCATGAGGATTTCCCCACGTACAAAAAAAAAGGTGTTCTCGGGGCATGGCAGCTTCGGGAGATACCTGTGCCGGATAGGGAAGGAGCCGACGGCGCGTTGCTGCCATTGTGCCGCTGAGCAGGACACGGCGGAACATACCCTCGAGGTATGCGCTGCATGGGAGGGTGAGCGCCGTGTCCTGATCGGCGTCATCGGGCGGGATGTCTCGCTGCCGGGCATGGTGCGCGCCATGCTCGGCAGCGAGGAGAAGTGGAGGGCCGTGGCCTCCTTCTGCGAAATCGTAATGTTGCAGAAGGAGACCGCGGGAAGGGAGCGCGAGCGTCAGCGGCGCGCTGAGGCTCGCGCTCGTTTGGTGGCGAGAGAGCGTCGCCTGGGCGTCAGGCGACGCGGGCGGCCCCCTCGGCGTGGCGCATGACCCAGGCTGGGAGGGGGGTCCTGATAGGAGCCCCCCTCCCGCCAGGCGGCGCAGGGTCGGACCGGATGGGGTGGCAGTGCCTCCTGTCCGGGTCCGGCGCACGGAGCGGCACCCTCGGTGGTCTGGTGCGGCCATTGGCTGCCGGTCGCCGAGGGGTAGAAACGGGGTCGCGGGCGGTTGCGAGTTGGGGCTCGCACCCGCCACTAGACGTGGCCCCGGGACGGATGGCGGCAGGACGAAGTGGCCTCGTCCTGCCGCTATGAGACAAGGTGATTACCGGGGGGGACCCGGTAAAATAGGGTAATCAAGACGGAGTTTTCTAGACAGCTGAAATGCACGTGCGCGACTAGCGCGCACTTTCACTTGGCTAGCTTTCACTTAATTGTTACTAGCATTCAAATTTACTAGAAAACTCCGTCCCAACCCCGGAAATGGCTTCCTCACCAGAGCCTGCCCTTTCCGCCAGTACAGTCAAACCACACCCACACAGAACAACTACACCAATCATTCAGAACCAACGACACTCCTACAACGCGACACATTAGCCAATAAGAACATTCCACCATCCATATAAATACCGACATCAGACCTGAAATAGACATTCCACGTTACACAGTCGAAAAGTCAACTACGCTCGTTCAGTACTACATTCATTTATTCCAACTATTCCGATAGTAATAACTTACTCTTCGGAAAGCGTTCCTTTCGCGCCACTCCAATTTTACCGGTCGCGAGAGTCCACGCAACAGTTATGTATTAAGTAGCATGTAAGAAATACAGTGATATAAACAATCAGCGAATACTTATTAAATTCCTGTTTACATTTTTAAATTGAAGTGTATTTGAAAAATTGATAACAGTTTTATTCGTAAGTAACTCGGAAGAATCGTGATACACGTACACGTAGACATTCACGAATAACATAATCGCGGTACGTGTTTATTTAATTGCATAGTGGTTAGTGCCTGAAAGGATTATTTGTGGATACTTGTGGACACTGTGGACAATCGTGGGGCGTGTATAATCGCATGTGGGTGATTTTTGTTCACAACATTGTGTATTGGAACTGGCATTCACCCTTTCTCTGTGAAAATCTCGTCGGGCTAGTTTTGATATGCCCTTCTGGATTTTCATAAGACAGGTTGAATCTTATTCAACGTAAGGTGTTCGCATTTCCATAAGTAGACAAAAATCTAAGGCTGTCGATAATGTCGGTAAACAGAATTTTTCATGCTGCGTGAGAACCACTAGCACTGGCCTGCCGCAACCGTCCGCGCGAACGCAGCTGTTTAGCGGATTCTCATTCTACAGGCGGAACTTTAAATGTTAATAACTTTGCAACGAAGCCTCCATCAACAAATTAGTATTCTTGATTTTCGTCTTATTTTGGCCTCTACTATCGCTCATTAAAATTTTTGCTATAGATAGCCGAACACCCTGTATAAGGAGTGCGCGGCGCCCATATCTCTCTCTCTCTCTCACACTCTCTCTCTCTGCTATGAGGCGTAAAAGTGCAACAAGTGTACAATTATTTTTTTTGTTCTATTAATTAATGTTCCAAATAGTTGTTTATTTTGTTACCATTAAATGTAAAAGATAATATATTCTTATTTCAAACTAGTGCCCGTGCAATACGGTGTGATTTGTTTCACCATAAAACCCAACACTATCGCTGTGCTTCGTTTCTCTTTTGGAGTTGCGTCTTTGTTAATAGTAGTTGGTGGAGGACTTAACTTAGAAACCGATTGTGGAACACATAATTCCACAGAGCCACCATCCTGGAATATCTAAACGATAGAAAAAACATATCGTTTACTATATAATTTTTTTTTCTTTTCAATGTATTATCAATAACACTGTTCAACACGAATTTTGTTTTTCCGTACCCACTAGGTGATTCTTGTAGAGCTCTGTTTCCTAAACACGAATGTGAAAATGGAATTGCTGTATCACCCTCAGTTTTTGAAAAACACGAGTTTTTGTGAAAACGTCCAATTTTGGGCAAAAACGAGGTATTATTAAAAACGAGGCGAAAATTAAAAACATCAGACAGTTCCACTTAATCTTAAAAATAGAGGAGAGATTCCTGAATATGCTAACATCGATAGTTATAATATTTTGTGCTTTTGCTTTTTTGGTTGTAAATGATCGCCAAAGTTTGAAAAAGTGTCGAAGTACGTACTTTATACACAATACTTTTGCATATTTGCGAAAAGTTCTTTACCTGACACGAAATTTATACACAGAATCTAATTCTGCAGACATTTCTGAAGAAGAAACTGTCCAACAGAAGTGTAGAAGCCGTTCTCAATTGTCACAGGTAGAAAAAATGTGTGTTGGGAACGCGTGCAGGACGTTGTACCGCCACGCGGCCATCGCTAGCCTACCTCGGCTCGGCAGTGCCGTAGCTACCTACAAGCGAAACTGGTATAATGGTGCAATAGGGTATGCAGTCTGTATACAGGGTGCTCGGCCACCCTTGGGAAAAATTTTAGTGGGGCGATTCTAGAGGCCAAAATAAGACGAAAATTAAGAATATTAATTTGTTGATGGAGGCTTCGTTAAAAAGTTATTAACAATTAAATTAAAAAATTTCAAATTGTTCCGGAAAAATTATTTTCGGTTGCAGGGGTCAATTACAGTCATTTTTGGTGAATAGACATACCCTCGAAATCCTGCGCATTTTCTAGAAAAAAATTCGAGCAGATGCTGAAATTTTTCGCGATAATTAAAAAATTTCAAATCGTCGTGGAAAAATTATTTTTAGTTGCAGGAGTCAATTACTATCATTTTTTTTCATTAGACATACCCTCAAAATCCTATCCACTTTCGCGAAAAAAATTTGAGAATGTGTGAAATGTTTCGACGGGAGAAAAAAATTTCGAATCGTTCTGAAAATATTATTTTCAGTTCCGAGGGTCGATTACAATAATTTTTGGTGAATAGACATACCCTCGAAATTCTGCGCATTTTCTAGAAAAAAATTCGAGAAGATGCTGAAATTTTCGCGAAAATTAAAAAATTTCAAATTGTGAGCAATTGGGTGTGTTCACACGACGATGCACGGACATTTTAAGAACGTGTCTTTCGGCGCCTACTTGTACCCATATAGGCATTATCCTCATCTGTTCTTGTTACTGTTGGTAACTACTGTTTATTCAACCGTGTGTGTTACATGTCGCATTTCCGACGATCTGTTATGTATTTATGGCGTATATTATATCGAGCTTTTAATAAATATTCCTTTAACTGCGTTTAAATAACCAACAGGTTATGGGCCCAGACGGAAGGATATAAAAAAATAAATATAAAAAAAAAGCTCGGAAATATAAGAGTTAAAATCGATCGTTATTTGAGTGCGCGTCGAAAAGTTAAAATTGATCGTTATTGAGTGCGCGTCAAAATTACGTGTGGTGCATCGAAAGCGAGAAGATGAGTACGCCGAGCTTCGTCCGAATTGAAACCTTGAACAAGGACAATTTTGATACTTGGAAAATGCAAATGGAAGCATTGCTTGTCAAGAACGACGCGTGGGTCTACGTAAACGGCGAATTCAGAAAACCGACGCTGGTAGCGGAAAACACGGAATCTGAAAACGCGGTAAGAGCATGGATAAATAACGACAAGAAAGCGAAATCAGACATAATTCTAGCAATAAGCCCAACCGAATTAAAACAAATAAAGGGCTGTAATACGTCCCGCGAGATGTGGTTAAAGCTAGAAAGCATTTATCAGTCGAAAGGTCCTGCTCGAAAGGCCACGTTATTAAAACGATTGACGCTGCATCGAATGGAGGATAATGGCGACGTGCGTGAACACGTTCGAATGTTTTTCGATACGATAGACAAACTCAACGAAATGGAAGTTGAAATAAATCCGGATCTACTTGCGATCATGTTGTTGTACAGTCTACCACCGACTTTCGAAAATTTTCGCTGTGCCATCGAGTCGCGAGATGAATTGCCATCGCCGGAAGTACTTCGCGTTAAAATTATCGAAGAGAGTGAAGCTCGCAAGAACGACACGCGCGCTGTGTTGCAGAACGCGATGATCGCGAGTAAAAGTCGATTTTCGAGCAAACGGAAACCGGTAGGCGGCAAGTCCGAGGGCAAAAGTGAATTTCAGTTTCGGTGTCATCGATGCAAAAAGAAGGGACATAAAGTCGCGGATTGCAAAAGCAAGAAACAAGACGATTCGCAAACAGCGAACAACGCGGAAGGCATGGTATTGAGCGCGACGGAAGTGTTTTCTAAAAAACAAGACGCGCTGTACGCAAAAGAGAGTTCGTTCGCAGCGACATGGTGTTTGGACAGTGGTGCATCCTCGCACATGTGTGGACAGTTACGCGATTTTACCGAGATAGACGATTCCAAACGCGGTAAACTAAACTTGGCAAATCACGCATCGGCGAAGATTCTAGCGAAGGGTACGGTCAATTTCGAATCGGAAGTTCACGGTGAAAAGAAAAACGTGAATTTGAATGAAGTGCTTCACGTGCCGGATCTCCGCACGAATTTAATATCGGTCGCAAAAATTACGGATAGAGGTTTTGAGGTTATCTTCAAGAAAAACCACGCGGAAGTGATCGACCGAAGAGGTACGGTGAAGTTGCACGCGAATCGAATTGGCAATCTTTACCACGTGCGTGAACGCGAGCAAGCTGAGTGCAGCGCAATCTTCGAACGAGAAGAAGATGGAAGGTCATCGAGCTTGCTGGAAATATGGCATCGTCGTATGGGCCATCTGAATGTACAGGATCTGAAGAGGGCTGAACGAGACAAGGCAATACGAGGTCTGAAACTCGGCAAAAGCGAGGACAAGCTGGATTGCGAGGTATGCATACGAGGAAAAATGACTAGAGCCGTTTTCCCCGCGAAATCGAAAGGCAAGTATGAACCCTTAGAGATCATTCACTCAGATTTATGCGGTCCAATGCGGGTTGAATCAAACAATCGAGCCAGGTATTATATCACCTTCATAGATGAGCATTCTAGGTGGTGTGAAGTACGTTTTCTCAGAAATAAAAGCGACGCTCTGGAAGTATTCAAGGAAGTCAAGGCGTCAGCGGAGAATCAAAAGGGGAAGAAAATTAAATTTCTACAATCGGACAACGGAAGAGAGTACATAAACTCCGAGTTCGATCGCTTCTTGAAGACAAACGGTATTCAACGACGTCTTTCTATTGCATACAACCCCGAACAGAATGGCACTGCCGAGCGGAAAAATCGGACACTCATCGAAATGGCGCGATGCTTACTTATTCAGTCAGGGCTGCCACCGTCGTTTTGGGCCGAAGCAGTTTCAACTGCAAACTACATCCGGAATAGATGTCCAACCAGAAGCTTAGATGGTCGGACACCGCACGAACTGTGGATAGGAACAGCTCCTGACGTAAGTTTTTTCCGCGAGTTTGGATCTAAGGTGTTTTGTCTCAACAGATTACCTAGCAAGGGGAAGCTAGACCACCGTGCCAGAAAGGGAATCTTCCTGGGATATGCGTTGAATGCAAAAGGGTATAGAGTGTGGCTCCCTGAAGAAAGGAAAATCGAAATCACGAGGGACGTCAAATTCCTGGAAACCCACACAGCATCGCCGAAATCAGTTTTTGAAGATTTTGTCCAAGAGGAAACTTCTGACCCGAACGAAAGGCGAGCTGAAGGTCTGGACATCGAATTAGTACCTCTAGGGGCAGTAAGGGACGATGTTTCGGCCGTTCGGACAGTTCCTGAAGACACTGGAGAAGATTGTGTGAACGAGATAGGAACGACACCGAAAAGAGGACCCGGAAGACCGACCCTGCTGCGGACCGGAAGAGTGGGAAGACCTCGGAAGTTATTCCACGTCCGTCGAGAAGAAACCCAATACGCAGACACCGAATGCGCCTTGCTAGCAGAGGTACCCATGAGGGAGGCCATTTCAGGCCCGAATGCTGAAGAGTGGCACCGCGCAATAGCGAGCGAAGTCAAATCAATCCTAAAAAACAATACTTGGGATTTGGTAAAACGCCCTGAGGGCCGACAAGTGATCGGATCTCGTTTAGTACTCCGAAACAAGTACAATTCTGATGGTACACTCGAAAGAAGAAAGGCACGAATTGTCGCTAGAGGATTCGCCCAGCGCCCAGGTATTCATTTTAATCAGACGTTCGCACCAGTTGCTCGCTTGAGCTCGATTCGCCTGCTAGTTGCACTGGCTGCGAGCGAGGGGATGAAGATGAGGCAATTCGATGTTGAGACAGCCTATTTGAATGGAGTGCTGGAAGAAGAAATCTTCATGGAAGTGCCGCTTTTACTGTCCAAAGCGCTCGAATTAATCAGTGATACAGAAGCCAGGGGAAGCGATGTCGAGGTCAAGGCGAGGAACATGCTCAGGGACTTGCAAACCGGGGACAGAGTCTGCAAGTTGAGAAAGTCACTGTATGGTCTTCGCCAAGCTGGAAGAAGCTGGCACAAGAAGCTAGATGATGTGCTGAGAAATTTCGGAGCGAGACCTTCCAAGTCAGATCCTTGTATATACCGATTCGAGCAAGGGGGAGACTCGTTGTACATTGCAGTGTACGTAGATGACATCTTAACGTTCTCCCGAAGAACCGACCTTATAACGAAGTTCAAGCATCATATGAGCAGACAATTCGGTATTAAGGATCTAGGAGAACCAAAGTACTGTCTGGGGATTGAATTCCGGCGAGAATCGAACCAGATAAGTATGTGTCAAGAGGGTTATGTGCTCGAAGTCCTGGAACGTTTTGGGATGAGCGAATCGAAGCCTGTAAGTACACCGTTGGATG